GCCATTACCAACTGGATCCCACGGGATGTCAAAAGATTGTGTGGCTACACTAGCAAGTTTCAGGGTGAATGGAGACATTGCTGGTGCCCACTCGAGCAAGTTGATGAGTAACGGGATGTCAAGTGATCAAGTGAAGTGATCAAGTGTGTTGGGGAACAGTTTTTCCCTATGTGCCCAGACATTACACACCGGGTCTGGGCAGACATAGAGTGAAGGATGACTGGTGTGCAAAGAAAACCACTCCGGGAGATAGCTGATGTCCATTTACTTCATTGCCAAATACACACATACTTTATAGAGGGTCTTTACTTAAGAGGATGGTCAAATCACATAAAGTCTAGCATTACTGACCTATCACCTTTCCAACTCTGCTTTGAACCAGCCCAATCCCAATTAGGGATAGATACTGAAGTTAGGAATGATTCGCTAAGAGTAGTAGGTGACAATTTTTTTTTTTGATAGGGGGGGTTGGGTGAGACTCAAGGCCGGATACCTGTTGCTTGTCAAATATGCCCAAACACTCTCTACTGGGTTGCTATGCGGGCACAGGTATTATCTACTATGCAGGGACACGTCTTAACTGCTCTGGCGCCTGCTGCCATGCTCCACTGGGGTGAGATGATATATCATTGTTGTCTTGATTTTGAGAATTATTTCTCTGATAATACGTGATATGGCCATCCACCTGTCTTCTTCAAATCAGTGTCTGTTCATTTCTTCTCCTTATCCCTTCACCTTTTTTATTGTTGTTGGCAGTGATGCTCAAGAATTACTCCTGGCTCTAGACTCACTGATTACTCCTGGTAGGGCTTTAGTAACAATATTGGGTGCCAGAGATTGATTCTGACAGCATGTGTGAGGCAAGTGCTATATCTACTGTACTAGCCCCCCAGTTATTTACCATTTTTCATAAGTTTTTTATATTCTTGTCATTATTTTGATTTCTGTGTATTTTGAATTTATTTGATGCATTGAGTGCAAATGTTCTCTCCCATTCAGTTAGCTGTCTTTTAGTTGCAGCACATTTAGCTACAAAAATTTTTTAAAAATTTGATGTAGTGCCATTTTGTTTATTTTGTTTCTGTTCCTGTATTTTATTCCAGTTATTGTAATATCCCTAAACCTGCATCCTCCATTCCCACAATTCTTTAGTCATTGGCATATCTACCTTCTTCAACATACTGTGCCTCCCCCACTTTAGACTTAGTTCAAGTTCCCAGAAAATCTCCAGAGCCTGAGATTAAGCAAGTCTAATAATTCTTAGTAAATGAAGAAGGGAATTAATGAAGAAGGTGAGAGGAGGGAGGGTGGGAAGGGTAGAGGGGGGAATAGAAGGATAAAACAAGCAATAAAAATAAATGGGAGGAAGATCAGGGAAAGTGTTGCAACACTTAAAGTAGGTAGATCTGATTCCTAAGTCATACCTATACAATGTCAAAGAGATGCTGAGCACAGAAAACATAGACATATGAGAGTTAATACACATTGCAATAATGACAGTAATAAAGGCATATACTATGATTCAAATTTTTCATGGTTATATCTCTTTTAAGAATCCAATTCTTATTGTAGTCCTAGAAGGCAGATTCTCTTACTATAACCATTTAGAGAAAAAGAACTGAATGATAGAAGTTTAGCAATGTGTCTAATATTGCATATTCAAGGTTTTTCTTTTTTCCTCTTTTTGGAATTTTGGACCATACTCGGTAGTGCTCAGGACGTTCTCCTGGACCTGATATCAGGGATCACTACTGGTGGTGCTCAGGAAGCCATATGCAGTCCCAAGAATCAAACCATTGTCAACTTCATGCAAGGCAAGCATCCTATCTACCATATCTGCTGTATTATCTCTCCCCCCAGTTCATTTTTTTAAAGGTGACGTATAATTCACACTACCTAATGAGTCAAAATAACAGAATAAAGTATGCTACCGTGGCCACAATTTGAAGAAACTTTGAAGTTCCCCAGTACAAACTTGGACTTCTAACAAAAGATGCAGACGGGGTTGTTACCAAGGCAATGTCTAGTGAGGGGAAGGAAAAGAACTCAAAGAGTAGAGATAAGGAAGCAGGAAGTGAAAGGACCTGAGTGCAGAGCTGTAAGAATGGCAGCATGACTTGAAATAACCCTGATATATTAATCTGGTTCTATCTCATGTGGATTTTTTCAAAGTTAACCGAGCTAATGAATATTCAGTTTCCTCTGATTCAGCAAACCTATGAATCTATAGCATGATACCAGGATACTTTGAGCCTGGTGCTTCAAGGGTAGATTCATGGACTGATAGGAAAGTAAAGAGTACAACTGATTACTCATGGTATTCTAAAAGTTATTTACCCCATGTATCTAATTTTCATGTATGAACAGTCAACTTATTTACCTGCACAAATCTCTGTGTGAATGTTATATACCTGGCTACAGATGCTATTCTAGCTAGGTTGGCTTTATTGTTATTTCGTCTTCATAGGAAAGGATACGAGGATACTGAGAGGGGCTGTGAGGTCCTCTAAGAAACACAGCTAGTAAGTAAATTGGTCAAGGTAGACTGTGAGGTCCAAGAGCCTCAAGTCTAGAGTTTGTTCTCAGCTTCTATTTCTGTTTCTCTTTTAATTCTAAGGTAATTTTAAGTTTCTTGCTAAAGAGAATACCAAGTATCTGCAGACAGCTAAGCAGACACAAGTTTAAACTCCAACTTCTCTATGAGTAATTTCACCCTCTTGAGTAAAGAGAGTAAAATATAACTCTCTTAAAAGCCCATCCATTCCAAGAACACACAACCTAGACCTACTCACACAGACTTCACCCTGTGCAAACCCATCATTCAGAGAGGGTTCCGTGTGGTCTCCAAAAGCCACATGTTACAGCCCTAAACCAATGCCTGTGAATATGATCTTATTTACTAAGATATAAAATGTGTCTTTACAAGAACAAAGACTGGAAAGTTAAGGATATAGAAACAGAAGCACACATAGAAGGCAGGCGCTGTGATGCTAGAGGCATAGTTACATCAAGGATTACCATCAAACACCACAAACTAGGAAAATGCAGGAAAATATTCTTCCTTAGAGCTTTTGAAAGACATGATCCTGAGGATAACTGGTCCCTAAAAGGATGTATAGTCAATAGAAGAGCAAGAGAGTCAAATTCTATTGTTTTAACGTTTCTCTCTTTATAATGATTTGATATGGCAGTCCCAGTTCAGGTAATAGTGAGGATGTAAAAGCATAAATATTGCTTTTATACTCATGAAACTAAATCAAAGATTACCACAGTTAAAGGAATAATGTACTTCTAAACAAAAAGGAAGCTGCACGAAGGACAGTCTCTTTTCATATTTTTGCAAAATCATAAAAACACAACTCTCAAACTCAGAAGAATTGAGAAGAAACCCCTAGCAGCCCTCTCCTGTCTTTTAGCTGTGGGAGGAGGTGAAATTGCATTATTGATTATGATGTGATCAATTGGGGAGTAGGGATTCCATAGTTAAAGTTAGTTCTGTATTCTCTCTCCCTAGGGCTCCCAGGAACCTTTAAGGTCAGACAGGCCAGATCCTATGTGGCTGGCACTACTGTCTCTATAAACTGATTCCAAAGGGAAACCAGTGAAATGTGTGATGAAGGTCACCTTGCTCTCTGAGTCAAATGTTTTTCCTAATAAATGTAGCCCATGTTTTGATTCCCTCCGTCTTTTCTGCCTATTTAACAAGAGTTTCAAAATCCAGAGGCAAAGGGTTACTACAAGTAGGCAAAACCCCTATCCCCCCACATACATGCACACTACAAAAGAAAAATAGAAAGTAATCCCTCGTTTGGAGATGAATGTGGGTTTTAAAAAAATTAGTCCAAACAGCAGTTATTTGGTAGCCTGGGAACAACGTTGCAGGGTCCCTGTGGCAGGAGAAATTACAAATAGCTATGGGATTGTGACCAGGGTCCTCGACAGTTCTGAGCAATACTTTTCTCATCAATAAAATTAAATTCCTGCACACTTTTAAAAACCATTGATTCCAAGACATGAGGAGAAATTCAATGCCAGTACTATTCATCACCCTGTGAAAAGATGTGGCTAAGAATTACAGAGAAAAGAGAGCTAATGAATTACAGCATCTGATCATAAAAAAATTCCTGTCACTTTCTCTGTCTCCACAAACCCATTTTACTGTAGAGATTATAACTACATGAACTAAGAAAATATAGATTCAAACAAAAGAAGCAGAAATGGATGAGGTGGGCCTATAAGGACCAGTTAGATAACTATTCCCAACAACTGTGAGAACTAGCACTGTGGCTGGAACCATGCACTGGAGAACTAGATTATGAAGATTCAAGTCCTGGTCTTGTCACTTTTTAAATCAAATAACCACGTGCAATTAACGTCTTTAAACGTCACTTTCATCATCTTCAAAACGGTGATTAAAATAGCACCTATTACATAGGGTATTTAAGAGGATTGGATGTGTGGAACTATATCCATAGGTGTTCCTGAGCACCCCCTTCCTGTGAGTCTCCAGAATAAATGAAACTATGGTTCATGGGGATAACATTGTCTCAAGATTCCGAACCTGAATTTAAAAGTTGGTTTTGCTATTCACTCAAGTTGTGTGGCCCAGGGAGAATAATTCAGAGTTTCTGAACTCCGACCACCTCAATTCTCAAAAAAAAAAAGATAGATGGGTCTATCTTATATTGTGGTTATGAGGACCAACTGGGATGAAATTTGCAGGACTCCTGACCCATTATTCTGCTGAGAGGTAAAATGTATTGTCTTTGGCCATGACCCCTATTTAGGGGCTCATAAAAAGGCCAGAGGGATATACATATATACATATATATATACACACATCTATATATACAAATATGTTATTCAGCAATTACAATGAGTCCCTAATCTCTCTAGTGCTTCCCATGATCTGCCAGGGACCTTTCACCATGCAGAACTGAACCTTTGGTCCTGACACTGTGGTAGAAAGAAATGGATTCATAATCAGAGACATTACATACCTCGCTGCTGTCTCCAGTTGGTCTTTCCTGTAATGTGATGAGAGCAGGAAGAAAAATTTATTAAAATTTACACAGAACATCTACCCTTCCCCAAAATTGGCCCAAAATGTCTCTTTGATGGAGATGAAAGAGCAACATAGAGCTCTGGGACAAAATGGCCAGTGAGGAACAAATGAGTGTCCCAGACAGAATCAAGTCCCTACTGCTATGATTTGACTTTCAGCAACCAAGGTTCTTCTTAACCTACATTCACTTATTAATCCACGAAATGGATACAGGACCCACTCTGTTTCGGGTCTTGAGCTGGATTTATAGTGGGACAGACCAGGAAACCAGGAATTTCATTATGCAGCAGCTATACACTCCATAATTCTATGAATAACCATTATCATCATGGTCAACATCATCATCAACACTGACACTTATTGAAGAATAATTACTAGACTGATATTATTTTATGTACTTTTTACAGAGAGACATACTTAATTCTCATAGCAAACCTATTAGATCATTGGTATGATAATCCTCACTTTTTCTGATGAGGAAACTGAGCCACAGAGAAACAATTAAACCACTAACATTTCACAGTTAGAAATGTTACAGAATCAGGACTTAAACTCAATCAAGTGATCTAGCTTTAGGAGTCCATAATTTTATTCAGAGAACTGCATGTGCTATGAATGATTGCATGGTTCTGAACCTTTGTTCACACTCTTTTAGAATAAGGTCTCTTTTGTCCTGCCTAATACAATATTATTCACCCTTTGAGTTCCAGTTGGATGGAATGATGTCCCCTTTAAGTTTTTCATCTAAGATTCAAGACTGAGCTAACATTGTTTTACGTGTAGTCTTGTTTTCAGATCACATTGTCTTAGAATTATATGCTGGCCATGATCTACTTGGGATTTGATATCTTGGGGTTTAGGTTTTATATTAGCTCTAAAACACAAACAGTCCATGGCCTGGCATGTGATAAATAAGTATGGAACAAATAACTGAACTATTACTGGGGCATATGGGTGAGGGAAATAATAAAAGACCTTTGCGGGGAGGGGGCTGGAGTGATATAGTACAGTGGGTAGGGCATTTGCCTTGCACACGGTTGACCCAGGTTCAATTCCCAGCATCCGATAAGGTTCCCTGAGTACCGCCAGGAATAATTCCTGAGTGCAAAGCCAGGAGTAACTGCTGTGCATCACCAGGTGTGACTCAAAAAGCAAATAAATAAATAAATAAATAAATAAATAAGACTTTTCATTATGATCATCTCAACTTTCCTTTTTTTTTTTTTGTGGTTCTAATATAACTGGGACTATTTCTCTTCTAAAGCACAAAAGCAGAGGAAATACTGACTTTCCAAAATTCTCGGGTCTTCAGCTCCATGAAAAGAAAAGAAGGCAGGAAGAGAGAAGGAAAGGATGAAAGTATGCACTAAGGTTAGAATTGAAGCAAAAGACACTCTAAAAGAGAGCAGTCGGGAATCAGAGGCCCCACCCTCTACTTCATCTCTCTTAGACAAGGTTTCTTGCCTCCTCCTTCTTCATCTCTCTTAGACAAGGTTTCTTGCCTCCTCCTTCTTCATCCTTCCAACCTTCTCACTCCTCTACCATTCTGTTATGGAATTCTTCCCCAATGACCTTCCATTAAAGAGCCGACCTCTAATACGTAGGCTAGGGCTGGAGCGATAGCACAGCAGGTAGGGCATTTGCCTTGCACGCAGCCAACATGGGCGGCCCGAATTCAATTCCTCCGCGCCTCTCGGAGAGCCCGGGACGCTACCAAGAGTATCTCGCACGCACGGCAGAGCCTGGCAAGCTCCCCGTGACGTATTTGATATGCCAAACACAGTAACAACAAAGTCTCTGATGGAGATGTTACTGGGCCCGCTCAAGTAAATCGATGAACAACGGGAGGACAGTGACAGTGACAGTGACAGTGACAATACGTAGGCTAACCTCTGAGTCTCTGTTCTATGGTAAAGGATGAAGGGACCCAAGATGAAGGTTAATGCCATGCTTGTGCTCTGAAGTCATACCTTCTATCCTGTTATCTCTTCTAGATCTTCTCTTAGGGTTCTCTTAAAATTCAACTCACATTTTTCATTCTCTACTAGAATCTTCCCATTAACAAAAACCCTGTCTCCACAGACTGCCTTAGCCACAATGACTACACTTAACGTTCCTACTTGCCCATTTCTATGTCAATCTTGAATCTACATAATCTGGCTCACATACTCACCCACAGCTCCACTGAGATTGCCATAGACTCAATCCCAAAAATTCCAGGAAAAAACATTCCTGGGCACTTCTACATTCTATTTTAAATCAACCATAAGGACAATTAACTGTCATTCTTGTTTACTGGTATGTTTCTATTGACAGACACGGTACCTTGCACATAAAAGATGCTTGGTAGTTACTTGATAAATGAACAGTATAAATAAATAATGCAGGCAAGGGGTTGTAATTTTACTGTCACTAAAAATGGTTTCCTAGAACTGTCAGTTTCCTTCAAAACTTCCTCCCTTTTCTCAAACGCCAGAGACTTAAACACATTCTCTGTACTGGGTACTGTGACAAGTACTTTCATACAATTTTTAAAAAAATTAATCCTAACAGCAACAATTTTCAAAAATGGGTCTTGCTGCAGATCAAAACCACAATGAGATACCATCTCACACCTCAGAGAGTGGCCCACATCTACAAGAACTAAAGCTACCGGTACTGGCACAGATGTGGCAAGAAAAGGACCCTCCTTCACTACTGGTGGGGATGCCGACTGGTTCAGCCCTTTTGGAAAACAGTATGGATGATTCTCAAAAAATTAGAAATTGAGCTCCCATTTGACCCAGCAATACCACTCCTAGAAATATATCCCAGAGAGGCAAAAAGTATAGTCGAAGTGACATCTGCACTTGTTTGTTCATTGCAGCACTCTTTACAATAGCCAGAATCTGGAAAAAACCTGAGTGCCCAAGAACAGATGACTGGTTAAAGAAACTTTGGTACATCTACACAATGGAGTACTATGTAGCTGTTAGAAAAGATGAAGACATGAAATTTACATACAAGTGGTACTACATGGAAAGTATCATGCTAAGTGAATTGAGTCAGCAAAAGAGGGACAGACATAAAAAGATTGCATTCATCTGGGGGACATAAAGTAACAAAATATGAGATTAATACACAAGAATAGCCAAGATAAGTACCAGGAGGATTACTCCATGGCTTAGAGGCCAGCTGGGCATGCTAAGGGAAAAAGCAGCTCAGATAGAAAAGGGAGCACCAAATAAAGGGTGTTTGGAGGATCCTCCCAGGATGGGAGATGTATCTTGAAAGTAAACTATAAACCAAACATGATTGCCACTCAATGCCTCTTTTGCAGACCACAGCACTCAAAAGGAGAGAGAGAACAAAAGGGAATGCTCTGCCACAGAAGCAGGGTGGGATGGGGGGAATGGGGGTGGGAGGGATACTGGGATCCATGGTGATGGAAAATGGGCACTGATGGAGGAATGGGTATTTGATCACTGTATAATCAAAACCAAAGCACAAAAATTTGTAAGTCTACAACTGTATCTCATGGTGTTTCACTAATAAAAATTTTTAAAAAATGGGTCTTGCTATTCAATAATCTTTGACTCATTAATTTATGCAACTTTTTCCCTAATAACTTTTTGTTCTCAGACAAATAAGATTTGCAAAATCTTGATTCCAATCATTTTTCCCTACCACTTACAATCTGGATGATATTCGTCTATATAATTAATCTCACAAAACTAATACTTCATTATATACGGTTACTTTTAACAAAGAAGAGAGCAAAAGGAAAAGAGTAGCTTATTTAATAAGTGATATTAGATACTTTTAAAATTTTTTTTTAATTTCACTCATTGGCTTGAAATATGAAATTAAACAAAAGTCACACACCATAAAATTTTATTTTTATATGACTTTTTCAAATGAGGCATAATAGAAAGAGAAAGCAATTAGTAGTTACAGGGGAAAGTGGGGAAAGTGAGAGCCAGGAGTAATTGCTAATGGATAAAGGTTTGTTTTTTTTTTTCATGCAGCAAAACTATTATCATTGTTTAGAATTAGATAGTGGTGACCAATGTCAATTTGTGATCATAGTAAAAACCATTCGTAAGTGGAATCATGTAGTTCAAACTTCTGAGGTTCTAAGATCTACTCTGTTTTCACACACCATGATTTCACATACCCTTTTAAAATGAACGATTCTACTTAGAGGAATTTTCTTGGAAGTAGCACAAACTTGTGGTATCAATAAAAGTACACCAATATAGCACTGTCCTCTTATTGTTCATCAATTTTCTTGAGCAGGCACCAGTAACATCTCTACTATAAAACTTGTTACTGTTTTTGGCATATCAAATACATCACGGGTAGCTTGCCAGGCTCTCCGAGAGGGGCAGAGGAATCGAACCTGGGACGGTCACATGCAAGGCGTCCTATCTACTATGCTATCTCTCCGGCCCAGTTCAATATTTTAGTATATCTTATCTTCTTTACAATTTCCTTAACAGTTTGTTTTTTCTAGCCTACTTTATTACAAGAACTATAAATCATACACATAAAATGCAAAATATGTGCTGATTAACTATAAGGTTGACAGGAAGTTGTTTGTTAATAGTTGAGGAAGGAGAGGGAAGAAGTGGAGGAGGAGGTGGAAATTTATTCACAGATTCTCCTGACCATATGGAGGTAATGGTGCCCCTAATCCCCATATTTTCAATAGTCAATTGTGTATCTTAATAAAGTTAATCTTTTTAAAAAATTACAGGTGAAAGACAAATATTCTATAGGATATAGCTGATAACATAGCAAGAAATTAACAAATATGGAGTAGGTAGGAATTCAGGGACATTCTTTCTCAAGGAATTGCCCTGTTTTATTCAGAAGGTTGCTAAGTGAATTTCTTTTTGTCCTTGAAAAAAAAAAACAGAAAGAAATGCTCTCTCCTTAGTTTAAAAGCCATTTCCATATCACAGCAACTGTCTGTAGCACAATATATTCCTCCAAGTCTCTGACAGCTAGGACAATACCTGATTTAAAACAAATCAGCCCCAAAGAATGGGCCTATTGCCAAGACCTTGGGGTGTAGAGCAAAGGCAAATGATCTCAGTTTGATTTTGATGCAGGAACCTTTGCTTTTGAGTTCAAGGTCACACATTTATTTTTCAAAAGGAACCATGTGTCTGTTTCAAGAATATTTTTGCTATTTGAAAGAACACTGATTCAACCCTACATCCACAATGATTCTAGCAAAAAAAGAGAATTCTGCATTCAAAAGACCCACAAGTAAGTTAATTTGAAGAAGACACAGTCAATAAACCTAAAACTGTATCATTCATTTATCGTAGCCTTGTTTCATCTCATTGTCTTCATTTTTAACTCATCACACTTGATTTTTTGTTCATTTTTCTTACTCCTTTTCAAACACTTCCTCAACTGTACCTTTTAACTGCCTTCATTTAGGTCAAACTCTTACTTTCTCTAGTGACAAACCCTGAAATTATTTGCTAATTACTCTCTTTGTTTAGAACTATGGGTCTGTCCCATCATCCTCCACACTCTTTTTAAAATTTTTTTTTAATTTATTTTATTTTATGTTTTTAATTTTTATTTACTAGTGAAACACCATGAGGTACAGTTATAGGCTTACAAATTTTTGTGCTTGGGTTTCAGTTATACAATGATCAAGTGCCCATCCCTCCACCAGCGCCTATCCTCCATCACCACAGGTTCCAGCATCCCTCTCATCTCCCATCCCTCCCATCCCACCCTGCCTCTGTAGCAGGGCATTCCCTTTTATTCTCTCTCTCTCTCCTTTTGGGTCCTGTGGTTTGCAAGAGAGGCATTGAGTGGCAATCATGTTTGGTCTATAGTCTACTTTCAGCATGCTTCTCCTACCCTAGGAGGATCCTCCCAACACCCTTTATTTGGTGCTCTCTTCTTTATCTGAGCTTCCTTTTCCTCTAACACGTGTGGCTGGCCTCCAAGACATGGAGAAAAATTCCTGGTACTAATCTCGGCCACTCCTGGGTGTTAGTCTCCCATTTTGTTGCTTTATGTTCCCCAGATGAATGCAATCTTTCTGTGTCTATCCCGCTCTTTCTGACTCATTTCGCTTAACATGATACTTTCCCAACCCCATCAAAAAACGGGGTGAGGAAATGAACAGAAACTTTCACAAAGAAGAAATCAGAATAGCTAAAAGGCACATAAGAAAATGCTCTACATCACTAATCATCAGGGAGATGCAGATCAAAACAACAATAAGATATCATTTCACACCACAGAGATTGACCCACATCCAAAAGAACAAGAGCAACCGGTGCTGGCGTGGATGTGGCGAGAAAGGGACCCTCCTTCACTACTGGTGGGAATGCAGACTGGTCCAACCCTTTTGGAAAACAGTATGGACGATTCTCAAAAAATTAGAATTTGATCTCCCATTTGACCCAGCAATACCACTCCTGGGAATATATCCCAGAGAGACAAAAAAGTATAGTCAAAGTGACATCTGCACTTGTTTTTTCATTGCAGCACTCTTTACTATAGCCAGAATCTGGAAAAAACCTGAGTGCCCGAGAACAGATGACTGGTTAAAGAAACTTTGGTACATTTACACAATAGAGTACTATGTAGCTGTTAGAAAAGATGAAGTCATGAAATTCACATACAAGTGGTACTACATGGAAACTCCACACTCTTTTTTGACCATACCTTATTTTTTATTTCAGAGGATTTCCCAATAGCTTCAGTATTAGGATTAGACCCTTCACAAGTGATCTATGATCTTTCCTGAACTTGCCTAAGACTTACCACATCCAAGATTCTCATAAATATTAATGGAATGAGTGTTTTACACAGAAAGTGGCATATACCAGTAGCATTTGTTGAGCAAAGTCAGATGGAGGTGAGATGTTAATAGTACACAAGAACCTAATCCCTCATAACCCTGTAAGTCATGGTCAGGTTTGGAATTTACTATCTTTGTATGATCACTCTATGGAAGATTTTAGAGAGGGAAATATTTCAGTAGATGATGATTTCTTGGATTTCTTTAAATTGTTACTACAGCCTTGTGATGGAATAAGGAATAATTGAAGCAAGGTCCAGAGTCTTGTTGAAGGCCCCACAATGAATGTTTGGGAGGATAGAGGAAACGACCTGCCCTGCATGAGTGATACTACAGTCTCTTGACACCAAGGGGACATGGGAAGGTCGACACTTCAGTTCCAGCTACTGGTGTGAGAGAGACTGTCCCTCACTTTGTCTTTCAACTCAATCGTTAATCTTTCTTTCTACTCACTTAAAATATAATCTCAAAGTGTCTCCAAGTATTCTGGAAAACATGTTCAAGATAATTTTATCACTCCTCTGCCTACACTGGCTGAAAGTAAAGTGGAATCTCTGTTTTCACAATCCCTTCTCCCCACCTTAACATTTGAGAACTTCTGACTTATTTGAGAGAGTGCCCAGGAAAAGTAAAATAAGTATATACTTGAATACTCAGAGCAGGTTGATCTTCTAAGAAATATTTTCCTATTTCTTTTCAGAGATATTGACCATGTAAAATGGATTTTATTTTACTAAAGTCTGAATTTTTTTTAAAAGATCATCCTACTTTATTATTATTTCAAAAATTTTGACACTGTAATTTAACATCTAGTTAAGATGAATATTTCAATGTCAAGTGGCCAAACCACAACTTCCACCAGAGAATTAGCATTCCTTACTACTAACTAGTTCTCTCTCATCCCAGACCCCCTATTGGAAAACTTATTCTTCTAGACAGAATTTTTAGGATCTGTTTTTTTGGACATTGCTTTTTCCATTACTTTGTTAATACTCTGCACTTGAGGAGATTGTAGTCACCTCCTTAAAAACAAAAATCACGAGGTCACCAGAGAACTGCTTTTACCATCTGCCCATTCCCAAGATCCAGTACAGTCTGTGGTGAAGTTCATGGCCACGTGAGCCCATCAAGATTTTCAAGTAGCCTCTTGTATTGACTCTCTACCTTCTCAGACACTGATTCTGCTCAGATTCTTCTTATCAGCCTTTCCATAGGGTCTATCTGGAAACACTTGGTTATACCCTAAATTCATCTATAAAGCTTGTCCGGTGTATTGGCCTCTAAATAATTGTAATTATTTAAATTTTAATGATTTAATCAGCCAGATGCATAGGATGGACACTGAAATTTTTCTATAATGATTCCACAGTGCAGCTTGGACCTGGAATCATTACCCTGCAGGATGTCCTCCAGGAAACAGTGAAGATCACAGGCACTGTGTGGAACCTGGCTAGGGAGGGGTTGCCAAACTGACCATTCAGATGGGCATCACTTGCCTGAAGAATGGAAAAGAGACAACTGATTCATAGAACCTCCATGTCGCCACAAGATCCATCCTGTTGGGGTTGGTTGCATAGTACCTCCAGGCAGCCTGAAAGGGAGAAAGGAGAGGTGGGACTGACTTCCACTTGGAAACTTTCAACCTGGTGAAAGCTTTGGTCGTGAGCTGAAATATGCATTAGATTAACTATCTAGAAAAGCCAGGATTCCTAGCTTTTTCTAAGTCCTTTAGGAACAGACATTTTCTCAATCGTATTATCTCAGGGTTACGTGAATATGGGGAAGTGAGAGTGACAACGTAAGCACACAGGTGCGAGAGAGGTGCTGGATATAAAATCCCTGAAAAGAGCAGGGACCACACTTGCCAAAAATTTCTTAAAATGGACTAAATAGGTGGGAAGACACAGTGTTCTGTTTTGTTTTTGACATTTTGAAAATTGACAACTAAAAAGATGAAATTTTGTAATTAATATACTAGAACCTATAGGATGTATTGCAAATCATATAACCCAAAAGGAACGAGCAAGCAAGAGAGAGAGAGGGAGAGAGAGAATGTGCCTGCCACAGAGGCAGGGGGTGGTGGGGAGTGGGGGTGGCAGGAAGGATTCCGGGAACATCAGTGGTGGAGAATGGGCACTGGAAGAGGAATGGGTGCTCAATCATTGTATGACTGAAATATAATCATGAAAGTTTGTAAGTCTGTAATTTTACCTCATGGTGAATCAGAATAATAAATAAAAAAATGAACGGAACAGTAACAAAGTTGAAATTTTTAGGACACTATTTCTATACGTAGCTACAAAATACCCATGGGCGTCTATCAGCAGCGTGGTCCTGCCCTAATCAAGCCCCAGTCCAGGAGCCTGGAGTCGCCTATGTAAGCATATAGACACACACACATGCAAGTAGCTGAGTTTGTTCCAGTGCACCCCCAGAAAGACAAACCTGAATGAGCTCAGCAGCAGGCTTCCTCCTTTTCTCAAAGTGCTTCTGACGGTGCTGCTCCTGGACCTTTAGTGCCAGCCCTGACCCCAGGATGCCCTAGAAGGAGAAATTAGGCTGAGATCAGTCCCAGCTGGACTTTGGTGCTTCACACTGACTCCTACTCCTTGGGGTCCACTGTGACAAAAACTGACTCAAGAAAGGAGAGAATATATTTTCCTTCTCTTTGAGGGAATGGGGAGGTAGGTTTGGTGGAGGCTTGAAATTAGGAAGTTCCACTTTCCAGCAGCAAGAGCCTGGGTAAATATCTTCTGCTGCAGTTCAGCTTCTTTCCCAGGAAGTATGAACAAAGTCTCTAGCACACCATTTTGTTAAAAGAAAGATTAGGTAACATATAGGAACAACCTCCCAAATTGTATGGCTCCTATTGTGGTAGCTTTCATTATTACTTGAGAGCTATTTTAGCTTCCAGATCAGTCTGACAAGACTATTAAGAGGCTAGAAACACAGATACTTGAAGTGAAAGAGAACTTAGGGACTGGGAAGCAACTCCAACCCCCTTAAAAAGCTCTACAGAAGGAAACAGAGACTCAGAAAGGTTTATCTTTTTTTTTTTTTTTTTTTTTTTCTTTTTGGGTCACACCTGGCAATGCACAAGGTTACTTTTGGCTCTGTACTCAGGAATTACTCTTGGTGGTGCTCAGGTGACCATATGGGATGCTGGGAATCGAACCCCGGTTGGCCACGTGCAAGGCCAAAACCCTACCCGCTGTGCTATCGCTCCAGCCCCGAGACTCAGAAAGGTTTAATGCTCAAGATCAAATGAATTAGATAAAACAGATAAGATAGAGCTGGAGCAATAGTACAGTGGGTAAGGCACTTGCTTTGCATACAGTCAACTTGGGTTTGAGACCTGGCATCCCTATGATTCCCCCAAGTCCATCATGAGTGATCCCTGACTACAGAGCCAGGAGTAACCCCTGAGTAACAATAGGTGTGACCTATTATTACACCTATTACAACACGCCCCCCCCCCCCAAAAAAAAGAAACCAGACAAGGTAGTGCTCCAAGGGAGAGAGAAAATCTTCAACCTGAGGATGGGATATGAAGATGGTGGAAAACAATTGTTATTGAATAAAAGGTTCTTTCTAAGCTTCATGATTAAGAGCTGTCCATAGAACCAGCAAACCTGGGCCCCTGGTTCTATCATCCAGTGGTCTTGTAACTTTGGAAAATGTATGACACTAATTAAGTCTTAGGTTTCTTTTGACCCAGAGAATGGAGACAAATATAGTATCAGACCCCAAATATTTTGTTTTATCAAATTCCTTTTTTTTTTTTGGATCCACATCCAGTAAGGCTCAGGACTTATTCCTGGTTCTGTGCTCAGGGATCATTTCTATCATGCTTTACAGCACCAGAGATCTAACTAGGGTGAGCCTCATTCAAGGAAAATACCTTAACCCCTCTACCATCTTTTTGACACTCAGATGCCAAATGTTATCACAAAAATAAAGGCAGATAGTAGAAGTATTAAGTTTTTGTAATCATTTCAGTTCACAGTAAATTTCAGGAGTGCTAATCATCATTTGTTATTATTATAATTATGAATACTATACAGTGGGGCAGGTTAATTTATCATGGATCAAGACAACGTATGAGCACAGTACAATGGGGAACTAATTTTATCACGAATCAAGAATTAGACTTGTGATAAATGCATGTCTTTACATATACCATGGTGGTAGAACAAAGTAAGGAAACTCACATGCATGCTCATATGTCTGCTTTGTGCAAGACAAAGGGGTTCCTTAGGGGAAAGGATACAGTTCCCAGGACACAGACAGTCTCTGAAGGAGACAGATACATGAAACATGAAACTCCCACATGGACTTAGAAATGCTTTATAGAGTTAGGGGCAGAAGAGTGGCATCCACACAGCCTAAAGAAGCCCACCCTGGAACTGAATCTTGGAGAAGATCTAGATATGTAGATGCAGATATGTAGATATGGGGGAGGTCGTTCCTGACACTGGGAACAGCATAGCTTAAGGAAAGCAAAAAACTGTACTTCAGGGTACAGCTCTAGAATTGACCACCTGGAATTTAGAATAAGAAGGAATGAACAATGAGACTGAGAGTTGAGAGGGTTCAGGCTGTGAAGGGTATTGCACATCACAAAATGGGGGAACACTGAAGGTACTTACTGCTGGAAGGGCAAAAAAGGAGACGCCAATTAAGGAGAAGGTGGCAGCGATCAGACGACCTTCCCATGTTTTGGGAGTTTTATCTCCATAGCCAATGGTGGCCAATGTGATCTAAAGAGAAAAAGAGTTTCTGTAAAATATGTGTCACATCTGTGTATCAGATATTCAGTGATGTGTCAATGAGTTTCTCCTTTAAGTCTTTGTACTGATTTGGGTTTGATCCAATTCAGAATATCATTCCCACTAAAATAGGGGCACCAAACCCCAAGAATCTTATGTGAAAGTTCTGATATCATACCTGAGTTAAGGATTTCCTTCCTATAGAAATTAGTCAACAAATATTTCCATCATTAGAAACATGTATATGCACACACACTCAGGTATCCGTGTGTGTGTGTGTGTGCATGTGTGATTTTGTAAATGGTCATGTTTCTGAGAATATGTGTGCTTGTGAGCATATTTACATGTGCATTCTGTGAGTATCTAATGTCTTTGCATATTTTTGCTCTGGTGTGCTTTGAATATGACTGTGCATTTACACACATTGTCATAAAACATAGAAGAACACTCATACATCTGAGCACAGAAGATAGGCTATTAGGATAGCAACAGTTGGGGCCTCTGGTACCCACCCATCTGAATCTAAATCCCAAGCTAACCACAAATTTGCTTAGCATCCTTTCTCAGATTAATAAAACTCTTCATTCTTTTGTTTTCCCATTTTTCTTTTTACAATTAAAAAAGGCAGTTTGTTTTTATTTTTTGAAAATAAGATCTGAGTATTAACATATGTTGATAAACATCAAGAACTTAGACAAAGCTTATGAGAACCCAGCAACAAATGCCAGTTTTACCTGGGCACATGTACCATATCCCTGGGGGAATGGGGCTCCAGCTGTGTGTGAAGGTCTGTAGGCACCTGAGTCTGTCTATGTATTACTGTGTCTGTTTGGTTGATAGTAATAGCTCTGGGACTAATGAAGTGAGTTCCGTGGGAGACTCTGGGACGAGACTTTTCTGAGCACTGACTTGTTATAAATACTTTGGAAAAACCTATTCCAAGTGCATATGTGGTATGGGATTGTCCAAAGGGCAGGACTGAAACTGGAAAACTAGTTCCCACCTGTGACTGCAGAATGCAGCTGCAGATTAAGCATACGCTAGTCATGACATTTACTTCTCTGTCCCTACCAGTCAATTCCTGTAGACTCATGCTTGCATATGTGTTGGAATTGGTGGGTGGTCTTGAAGGTGGTCACTTACCAGACCCCACCAAAGGGCATCTGCATAAGTTTCAAACTCTTCTTTCACCTCTTCTCCTTGTACACCCACCTCCGGCACATCCTTCTCAACCAGGTAGACAAGAAATGAAGAAAGGATGAGGGTCAGGAATCCAATGTACCAGGCAGTGATGAGCTCCTGGGAGAGGAAGCAGTAATCAAAGGAAGTGGTCTCAGGTTTAACATCTCTGTTTTTTTTTTTGTTGTGTTTTTAATTTTATTGAATCACCATGAGATAGTTACAGGCTTTCATGTTTGGGTTACAATCACACAATGATCAAACACCCATCCCTCCACCAGTCCACATCCCCCACCACCAATAGTATATACCTTCCTTCCCACCCTCCCCCTGCCTCCATGGCAGACAATATTCCCCATACTCTCTACTTTTGGGGATTATGATTTGTAATACAGACACTGAGAGGTTATCATGTTTGGTCCTTTATCTACTTTCTGCACACATCTCCCATCCCAACCAGTTCCTCCAGCCATCATTTTTTTAGTAATCCCCTTCTCTATTCCAGTGCCTTCTCACCTTTGCTCCCATAGGCTTCCAGCTATGGAGCAATTTTCCTGTCCCGCGTATCTACTATCCTTAGGTGTCAGCATCATGTTATGTTGTTTTATACTCCACAAATGAGTGCAGTCCTTCTATGTGTGTCCCTCTCTTTCTGACTCATTTAACTTAGCATGATTTAGCATCTCTGACTGTGGAATTTTTTTTACCTCTGACCCTCTCCTAGCATCACTGGAAAATGGGATCATCACAGAAGAAAGAGTGGGAGATTGCTGCCTTAGGATTTCTTAACATCAGGGCTGTAGAGGCTGTACAGGTAAGGGAACTGGGTAGAAGGGACTGTCTACTGCCTCTGAGATAAGGTTCAGAACTCAGAGCAAGGAGAAAACTCTGGAAAACAACTAAGGGGAGCTAGTGTGGTATAATAGGGCTGTGGAAATGGAGCCAGACCTGCTACTAATTTGCTCTGTGACCCGTGGCAAATTGCCTCTTTTCTCCAGGATATTCACGAATGGCCTTTACAGCTAAAAGTTAAAAGTGAAGATGAATTTTATTCCTTGTTTCTAAAGTGAACGGAAGAGTAGAAGTATGGCTCAAAGTGGTCGAGAGCATGTTTCTGACATAAGTAATACCCTAAATAGGGTCTTAACACTCCGACAGCATTCTCTGGGTGTAGAGTTGATACTCCCCAACACTGTTGCGCCCTTAGCACTGCTGAACACTGAAACATCAGGCCCAAGCCACAAGGATGAATATTGTGGAGAAGAAGCCCCTTCGCCTTTACCCCAAGCTCCTTGCTGGATGTGAGATCTATAAAAAGACATAAAATAAAAAATATAAGGGAAAGGACTACCCACACTATCCCAAGTTCCAGAATTGCCATGTGCAAGGCAGAAAGACTATTTTTCCTACATAGTCAGATCTTGATTTAAATCCTAATAAAAGATAGCACTGATAACTCATAAAACCTGTTAGTTCATAGATGTTATCATGTGATAGGCTAGGGCATATGAGTAAGTAAATCAGAGAAGATGAATGTGAAGGAAATTATTAAGGGAAAGAAAATAGTGCAGAGCTAGAGCAAAGGTCACCAAATCATGGAAGTTTCAACACCTTCTAACTAATATCATTCCTAGAACTTTCTTATTTCACTCACTGCAATCTGCTTTCAAGGTTGGCTAGGCAGGATGAAAGTCAAGGGTACTGGTGAACATGGTGCGGAGATTAGACTTGTCATTCATGCTGAGTCAGCCCAGAGATCAAAGTTGTTCACATCAATGGCTTCACCTCTGCTAGTCTGCCACCATCCAGCAGGCCTCTGGAGCAACAGAATCTTGCTGACATGGTTCCTTCCTCTTCCTTGTGAGCCTCTACTTACAGGAATGTCATTTTCTGAACTTCCCATCCCCAGATGATCCACCAAAAAGCATGAGTCCTATAACCCGCAGATAGTTTTCTGGAAGATGGTTCCCTTGTGGAGACACAGGTCTTGTCTCAAATTACATTCTGCCTTTGTTATTTCCTTTGCTGACTTCTCTGAATTTATAGCAGGTCATGGTGTGCTTTGGCTTCTCAGGCATCAGGCTTCCTCCAGGCATGATGAGCAGCGTGTAGTGCTTTTGTGTGAGAAGGTCTGGTCTCCATAGTGTGGCTCTGTGCTACCCTCCCTCCCAGGGGTTCTGCCCTGCAGGTATGGATAAAAGGAACTGGAATTGGAAAATCCTTCTCCAATGGCTGGTGGAGCATGTGACTCTTGCCTTGTTGCAGTTTAAGGTTTCTCTGCTGCTTCATTTCCTCTGATCTTCAAATGTGAGTTAGAAATTTTATCTAGTGTTTACAGATATAGCTATCAGTTAGGTGTATACAGGACAGCTGACTGTATTGAACTCAAAGGAGATATACTGATGCCCAAGAAGGAGTCAACATGGGGTCTCAGTTCTGCAGGTCTTTCAAAGGCTCTATAAGGTGATGCTGACCGCACCATTTTCTTCTCTTTGTTATTTATCCATTTGCCCTTCTCTTGAATGGTGATGGAAAAATTCAAGCAAAACAGAAATGCTGAAAAAGTTTAACAACATGGCAGGAAATTTTCCCAATACTCTCTATGCCCCTCTCGGAGAGCCCGGCAAGCTACTGAGAACACCTCGCCCGCATGGCAAAGCCTGGCAAGCTACCCATGGGTGGTGTATTCGATATGCCAAACACAGTAACAACAAGTCTCACGATGGAGACATTACTGGGCCCGTTCGAGCAAATCGATGAACAATGGGAGAACAGCGACAGTACTACAGTGCCCTTCTCTTTGATTTTGCTGTGGTAGTAACCAGTGATTCAGACATGTGGCGATGTTGCTTGCACACCCCTGGCTGTAATGTGCTTGCAATTTCTCACTGTACTGTGGTGCCAGGGATCAGAACTGTCAGTGCTCCTGGGGTTGTGCTCAGCATATGCAGTGATTCTGGGAATCAAACTTGTGGTCTCATGCCTTCAAGGCAGATGCTTTACCACTGAGCCATACTACCCAGTTTCTCCACCAAGACATGCTTCCCAGTTTTCCCCAGAATCTCTGTGGGGGAGCCAGAGCCTATGGTTTTCTGATATCTAAAAGAGACTGTGCAGTCTGGGGAAGGCAGAGGGTCTGGGATTCAGGCAACATAGAGGGGCAGTGGGAACAACTTCCTTCAATTTCCTTCCTATTCCTTAAATCCATTTTGCAAGATACTCCAGGCTTTCTGTGACTCAAATGTCATTTTTAAGAAATTAGGAGCCTGCCCCACCCACAACAGACACTGTGTGAATGGAAAGACAAGAATATCTCTGTGCTGGGTCATGGATAACCCAGGAATGATTTGTTCCAGGAGCCAACCCTAGTCTATTCTAACTAGTAAAAGTGCTGCCTTATCCATGTTTTTGGCTTACCAAGCCCTGCTCAGGCGGACAGTTCTGGGCATTTTCTGGTGATTTTTTTTGGGGGGGGTCATACCTGGCTATGCACAGGGGTTACTCCTGGCTCTACACTCAGGAGTTACTCCTGCCAGTGCTCAGGGGACCATATGGTATGCTGGTAATCGAACTCAGTCGGCCGCTTGCAAGGCAAATGCCCTACCCGCTGTGCTCTCTCCAGCCCCATTTCCTGGTGTTTCTTGGCCAATCAGGCCTCCTCCAGTCTTACTTCACAGGAACTCTGGGGTATAACTTGCACCATGGAGGGGAAACTCATTCTGCCTCAGGGAGTTATTGGTTCTGAGCTTTTCCATATGGGAAAAAGTGAAGGTGATATAACCTTAGTTACAAGGCTGCTCTCTTTAATTCTCAATTGAATTGAATTGGGAGAACCTAAAGCAGCTAATGATGGACATCAGGGCAGGACACCAAGAGGAGGCCTGCACCACCAATATGGACACCGGAAGATACTCTCTTGGTGAGGAAAGATATCTGACGAACACTTTCCCTGGAGCTCTAATTTCTCTCCACTGGCTATGGAGTTTTCCCTACCTGAATGAAAACAAGATATCCTCAGTGTTCCAGATCCCCATAAGACAAGGGCTCTAATACTAAGTGGTATCAGAAGTTGGGCTAACAATGGAAGAAAATTGGGGAACATTATGGATTCGGAGGCACGGAATACTGCCTGCCTGGGTTTCCAGACAGGGACAGGAATGCTCTGAAAGGAGATGCGACTGTGTGGCACCAATTCACAGCATCTCACTTAGAAAAGTGAGTTCTACCACAAGCTGCAAGCCATGGAAACACAGGCTAAGGGGCAGAAATGCAAACACATAAAATGAGACACTTGCCAGGTAACTTCTTCACTGGATCCCAGACAGAGAGCGGCCTGTCTTTGATCCCTCACCTCTACCTGCTGGTCAGCAGGAAAAGCGATAGTTTTTACCCACCTGTTTGTGGCTAGAAAACAAAGAAAAGCCAAAGGAACAGAGAGTAGTAAACACCAGCAAGAAGAGGCAGAGCATCAGAGATGGACCAGAGGACCATCAAGGGACAGTGAACAAGAATAAAGAGGGATAGCACAAAGAAGGACATTAGATCCATGAGATTTGAGGGACAGGAATGCTGAGAATCCACATGGAATAAATGACACACATGGAGCCATTGGTCAAAACCAGCAAGAAACTAGCATGAAGTCTGGATATAGGACATTGAAGAACCCCTATCTCAAAGTGGTTACATAAATAACTATAACTTCATAAGTATTTGGAATTTGTATACTCATTTCACGTACAATAACTCAAGGAGTTCTCAGGAGCTAGCCAGTTTGCTGTAACATCAATAACAATAAAATGATTTCTATGAGCTAGGTGCATTTTAAATGCTTGTTATTTGCTGAGGTAACTATAAGATCATTCCCACTCTATAAATGCAGGAATAAAAACTCAGCTAGGTCACAGAAAATCTCCCACCTTACATGAGCTTTTAAGCTTGGGATCAACTGGTATGTGTGATATTTGAGCTCTTCCCCTTCATACCGTACTACCTTACATGAGCTCATTTCATCCTTTCGGCACCCTTATTATCTCTATTTTAGGGATGATGAAGCTAAAGGTCAAAGAGTGGGGCTGGAGCGATAGCACAGCGGGTTTTTGCCTTGCACGTGACTGACCCGGGTTCGATTCCCAGCATCCCATATTGTCCCCTGAGCACCGTCAGCAGTAATTCCTGAATGCAGAGACAGGAGTAACCCCTGAGCATTGCTGGGTGTGGCCCATAAAGGGAAAAAAAAGGTAAAAGAGCATTGAGTGAGATGACCAGTCACATGCATATGATAGAGCTGAAACAGGTCTACCTATCCTAGTCACTGCTGTCACTCCTTTAAACCATACTTCCCATCTTCCTTCTCACCCTCTGGGGATGCTAGAAAAGAGCCATATTGAGTAAAAGGGACCCTTCACCTTTTGACTCCGCTAGGACACTTACTTTGCTGTGAGCACAGATGGCTGAACCTAGAAGCTTCCACGTCCCTCCCCTCCGGTCCATCCGCAGCATGCGCAGAATCTGCAGGAAGCGCAGGCTTCGTAGGGAGGTGGCCAGGACATTCCCCTGGTTTCCAACAGCAACCACAGGCACAGAGGCAATCAGCACAAAGATGTCTGGGAGAGAGGACATGGAGGTTGAAGAAGAGAGGGGAAAAGGAAAAAAGTCAGGTGCAGGTAATGGGACCATTTCAGACACTGCCCACCAGCAATGCAGACAATGGACCAATCAATACTTGACATGTTCACTCATGACATTGGTTCCATGTTATAAGTAGGATAGTTTTCCTAGGACAGCGAGGGGAGCTCCAAACCCGAATACTTCCCCAAGACTGTAAGATGAGGCTGAAAGGGGAATGGATGTGGGTCTGTCTGTTGGATTATTATGCTGTATTTCTACCCCAGGGAGATGGTTACCCACTCTCCAAACCCAACCCAGTGAGGGTGGCAATCAAGTGTCCTTCTTAGACTGCAAGGGGATCCAGATGCCTAACTATAGAGCTGAAAGTGCTAAAGAGTCACCACTGTAATGTGTGTTTCTTCTCAAAGCAGCAACTAAGACTAGAACTTGGATGTAGGTAATTTCCCAAGAGATTTCAAGACGTAGAATTCACGGAATAAGGAACAAATGGATTAGTATCAGGGTCTCTTGCTATTGGAGCCTCTAAGATAGGCAGCAGACCTCCCAAGACAAACTAATTTGAAATATGGAAGCTGGACTTCTTGTCCTTTGGCTCCCATCCTCTGCTGGTTGAGGGTCATCTGTGGTGTTTACACAACCATGCCTGGTGGTCTCACTTAAAATTCTGGGGTCAATTTTGGGGGAAGAGGAGACCATATTGGGAAGGGCAATGTTAGTGGCAGATGGTGAAGGGGGTCCGGAAGCCAAGGAGTCTTATGTGGACAAGAAGGAGTTCTGGATTTTGAAATCCCACGGAATAACCCACATCAAGGATCTCCACTGTACTGAATAGGGTTATCAAATCAAAAGGATCCCAATTAAATTTTTTTCCACGTTTCCTTTGACACCCTTTACCAAGTAAACTTGGAAAAATTTCTTTTGAACTGATGTTACCACCTATGAACTTCTCAACCCTTTAAAATGTCAATCTGGATTGTGGTTCTCAATTATACAAATCAAATATTCCCTTTCCCAGGAGATTCTGACCACAGAACCACATTATGCATTTATTTACTTCACAAAAGAATCTGTATTTCAAGTAATACACTTAAAATACTATTTGTTCAAACTCCTGAAAACCTTATGTGAACACATGGTGGTTTGCTGAGCACACAGCACACAGTGCTCTTACACACCTCCACATCTTTGTATGTGATGTCTTGCAGTTTAAAATGGGCTCTTCAATTCACATCTATGTATACCTGATGCAGCAGTGGGCACTCTGGGCTGGGGATATGTGTCCAAAGGCTCATGAAGGAATGCTGTGTCTATTCCCTGATACCTCCTATCTCCTGACCACAAATGTGTGTGTGGATTTGCACCCAAAATGCTGGTTTCCTTTATTCCAAATGAAAGTGGCTCTTAGATAGTCCTCATGTGGTGAGGCAGTTAAGGGATCAAACAATCGTATACCAAATATGGCTGCAGCCTTGGCTATACCATCATGTGTTATTTATGAATTATAAAGCTACTCTTATAATTTTAGAGAAACAAATCTAATCTAGGTGTATGGCCAAGGTGATTCAAGTCTTGGAGGACAGACAAGCCTATCTACTCCTGAGGGTTCAAGGCTGTACCAGAGAAGGAGATCATGCTGTTCATAATGACTTCTCTCTCATGAAGCACTCCACAAAAGCACCATTTCTCACAAGTGCCATGATAGAGGGAGAGTCAAGTGAAGCAGAGCAGAAAATGCAGCGACAGCAGGAGAACAAGTAGCAAGCTTGGTCTGGAGCTAAGGCCAGTCATGTATCTCCAAGCATGATCTGAGACTCAGCTCCACAAACCCACCTTGGGACAGTTGAGAGATGCTACTGCCCTGTAAAAGCCTGAGCCCCACAGACTGAGATACTCTTAAACCAAAGAATAGTAGAATGAGGTGTTCTGAAATGGAATGAAATTTCTGAATTTGGACATAACCCCTCACAAAGTCTCCCAATCCACACCTGCACTAACATGGAAATGAGTATGTTCACCCCAACCCTGAACACACACATATGCAAAACTTCTGGTCAAAACTTCTGCAGTGGATATATAGGCAACTCCCCAAACAAAAAAGAATTCTGAACCTATACTCTTGCAAAATCATTAAAATTAAGAAAAAAAAGGGAAGAAAGAAAGCAAGGTGAGGTGATTACAGGTTTTGTCCTTCTGAAATTCATATGTGGAGACCCTAACTTTCAAGGTGAGGTTTGGGAGGTGGGGCATGTGAAGGGTCAAGGTCATGAGCTCAGAGACCTCCTGTAACCATGTTCCCTGAGAGCATGAAATCAGTGCCCTGAGAGCACCTTCATACTCTACACATGAAGAAGCCATCCATCGCCAGTAGACCAGGCTTTCACCAGAAACCAGCCACAACACACTTTTGTCTTAGACTCCTAGACTCCAGATCTGCAAGAAATCCTTCCATATTGTTTACAGGAAGGATTTCTAAGTCTACAAACTAAGCCATGGTAGAGAGTAAGGGATGGCAAAGAAAAGAAGGGAAAAGTTTTTGAAAGTTTCTGAGTGGTTCAGTGGAAATTCAAGCATACACATGCATGCACATGCATACTCACACTTGTACACACATCCATCAGCATATGTGTGTACATACATTCCTTATTTGCATTAAAAACTCTAAGCCGGAAACAAAGCCCCAGCCTCCCTGAAAATGGAAAGAAAGATGGGAAGTTTCCATTGGTCATGAAGATGGTTCATATCAGCTGTGTGAGCACCTTACAAGCAAGGTCTGTGCAACCTCAGAATACTGAGGGAAGCTGCGACAGAGCCCAGCTCTTCTTTACCACACTGGTCTTCTGTCCATAAAGGGCCCTGCTCAGTCTGAAGGGGTACTTTTCAGAAGGGAAATGAGGAAGACATGGCCTGCTCAGAAGAGAAGGACCATGATGTTGAGAACATCTGACAGAAGATGATCTTGAAGTTACTAGATGCATTTTCCTTACAAGGAATATCTCCGATGGAAAGGAGAAAAACATGGTGACTAAATTCAAATATATGATGAGCATCAGAGTTATGATGATAAAACAGATACCTAGAGAGGTGATGAGCACCCAGTCACTGGAGGTATGCAAGCAGTTCTATAGATCACTTAATGGTAAAAGAGGTCTAGAACATCAACCTGGAGTATACGTGTGGCTAAGTGACTTTGGGAAATCTCTGGCCTGAACTTGAACCAAGTCTAGAGCTCTCTAGAGCTTTGAAGTTCCCCATCACATCATCATCTCCTCTGGCAGCCAACAACCCTAATCACTGTTATTTGAGTAGGAGCTGCATATGGGAAGGTTTGGGTCCCCATGCACATGGGAGCACTCTGCTCTCCCAGTGCCTGGGCCCAGAGAAAAGAGTCTCTGTGTGTCTTACCAGAAACAAGTGTGGTGTCTAGGTATAGCTACATAAGGACACAAGAGTTACATTCCTCCAATCCTGAGCTCAGGAGAGAATCTGCTACATATACTTGTATAAAATTTAGGAAATGGGGCATGTCCAGAAAACAGACCCAGGGAACTTCAGGAACACCCTCCTCTCTGCCAAGGTGTCCCCAAGCACCCGGGCCAGAGGGGTTCCTCTGGCAAGTGTTAGGACTTCATCAGAGAAGTGGGACTTTAATTATGCTTGGGCACTGACGCGGCCAACTCCATCACAGGTACAACACGGCGGGGGTGGGGGGGGGGTGGGGGGGCGTGGCCTCCGGGGCAGCATGCCCAGAAAACAGACCCAGGGAACTGCAAGAACACCGCTCCCCACTCCTCCAGGCCAAGGTGTCCCCCAGCACCCGGGTCAGAAGTGTTCCTCTGACAATCATTAGGACTGCATCAAAAGTGGGACTTTAATTCTGCTCAGGCACTGACAATGCCAACTCCATCACAGGTAAAATGTGGCAGGGGGAATGGCCTCCCTGGCATAGCTGCTCACCAGGCAGGCTGCAGTTATTTTCCCCCTTTCCAGTGCTCTGGACTCACATCTGAATCTCCATTACCTAGTTCTCAGGAGAACATCCTGGCTATCCCAATCACATTAGGTCAATAGTATAGTAGCCTATTCCAATCTCAACAAAGTAACAATGAACACAAGAAACTGAACAAGCTTAATATAAAATAACACACCCTCTGAAGCTTGAGTAGAGTCCTCACATAAATAACAAAGGAGCATCAAAGAGGAAGGTAGTATTCTAGAAGGGGAAAAAGGTGACCACCATCATCCGAGCTCATCGAGAATTCTTTCTCACAGCAAAAGGGGTACACTAATAGTGAACTGGAGGGTCCCACCTTTATACTACCACAACAACCTGAATAAACAGCGCAAATCCCCACCATGAGGAGTGGATGAAGAAAAGAGTCCAGAAGCCTCACCAGGATGACCCACAAATACGATCTCTCCAATAAAGAATTCAGAGATGAAATGCTGAGGATGATCAATGAACTCAATGGTGGAACAGAAATTCGGTAAATTAAAGGAGGGCATGAAAGAAACATTGTAACAGACAGCCAAGAAAATACAAGAAGACATGAGAAAAGAAATAAAAAAGCTACAAACAGAAGTGTCACTAATAAATGATTCGGTAGAGAAAATAAAAAAAAATCAGTGGGTGCCCTCAACAGTAGAATGACTACAGCCAAAGACAGAATCAGTGAGCTTAGAGATAAGCTGCAGAAAGCTTACAGGCAACAACACACAATGGGAAAAACCTCAAGATAGCTATAGGGTGAGTCAGAGACCTAGGGGATGAACTTAAAGAGGAACAACATAAGAATCATCAGAGTACCAGAAGGACAGGGAAGCAACCCCAATGAAAAAGCAACAGTTTAAGATACCATTGCTGACAAGTTCCCAGAGGTGGAGAATGTAGGCATCCAGATCAAAGAAGCCTGAAGGGTAGCAGCTAAAAGAGACCCTAATAAAACGACTCCAAGACATATCATAATCAGAATCACTA